GAAGAATCTATCAAAGATTTTCGTCGAGAATTGGGTGGGGCAGTATGCCACTTCTACGGAACGCCTTCGCTTTCATTCATAACAACGAATTCAGTTGCCTCTGCTGTGCAACAGCACCGAGTCTGGGGCAGGTCTTGAAAAGGGATAAGTCAATGCCAAAAGGCTCACACTTAAAACCTATGTCTTCCCTTTTCCTGAATCGTAAAGTGCCTTCGCAACTGCTGGACTCTCAAAACGATCCTCTTGAGGGCTTTGGTTCAAAGGTACAATTGCTTTTACTACAGCCATTTCATCCATACTATTCCCTCGCCTATTTCTGCTTTTTGAAAGTAGAATATTGGCAATGCATTCGATTTCATGTTGACGGGATAACCAAATTCAAAGTTTCTCTTGAGACATAGTGGGAGGAAACTTCTAGGTGACGACATATGTTGTAACCCCCTAACGACAAACTACGACTTTATCGATGCCTGGCACTTATCAGCTTCGGAAACTTTGGTTCCCTCAGCCTGATCACTGTATCGGCTGAGATGGAATTAGATGATTTCGCATTTAAAGAATTAGAACCATAACTTTCATTCTCAGGTCGGTGTAATGAGTGGTGTATTTACCTCTAGAATCCTTGAGAGGGGTCTTTTATATTGATCTAACAGGGAAGGATCCCAAGTCGAAGTGGCCGTCTGAAATGAGACCCATACCGCTAAACGTGTTATCGGACAGTGACCTCGAATCTGCTTTCCAGATTTGCCAAGCGGTTTTCAGAATGGAGTTATAAGGTGATTTTAGAGAGGCCTAACACAAGCGAACTCAAATTACATGGGTGTGACAGGTCTACCAGCAGTGAATTGGAGCAGTGGTAAGAGTGTCGCATCATAATCGAGGGACTTCTGTTCGGATTTTAGGGGCGAGATTTTGCACTGTATTGAATTTTTTCCTCGTAGCCTAGGAATTCCTTTGATGTTGGTTTTATCGCGTTTTACGATTTTGATAGTTGGGGTGCTATTCATCTTACCTAAACAATGCAATATCGCTTCATTTTTTTCTGCATTTAGGCGAAAACAAAATTGTGTAGGTGTGTCAAAATGACAGCGGTGAGTGCTTGAGTAGCAGGAGACGTGCATGGATAAGAGCTATAGTCTCCGAATCCAACAGCGTAGAACCGAAAGTAGGCAGGTGATAGTAAGCCAAGTTACAAGTGAATATACAAGAGTTCAGGTCAGGAACTATTGTGGGCGAGGTGATGATCATATTTCTGAACGACCAAGAAATGTGCTATGATTGGCTGTATTGACCTTGTGGTACAGGTCGTCCATTACCTTCATCCCCTCGCACGATCGTACACACTCTGAAACCGCGAAAGGCTTCCGACCTGGGAACCAGCAACGAAAAGGCAAAACAGTGAGTGGTTGCAGAGAGCAGCTGCACTGCTTCATCTACTTTCCTGCAATCTCTTGGGGCCAGAGATTGCGGAGTGAGCATATCGTTTTTAATTTCATCGTTAATATAAGCGATTGACAGAATCAGGTCTTCGGAGTTGACCGATTCTGCCTTTGAAATGTGTCCCGCACTCGACTACATACATAGTGGCGAGCACAATGGTATGGTCTATGCAGTGATTCGCGGTGACCATCCATGTACAGGTGAATGTTTTCATCTTCCAAGACGAGTCTGGTACCAATTAACCGACGCCGGAGGGATAGGAGGCTTGGTGGCCTGAACGGAGTTCCATCTCTGGACCATCCGTCCGTCACTGCTACCACAAGGCATTCCCCAAACGGTGAATACAGCGTGGACAAACGTGAAAAAATCAAAGCGATATTGCATGGTTTGGGTAGGAACGTTGTCACCACAACTATCACTAGGTCGTAGAACCGCGTTAAAATCAACAGTAAAGGTTTCTAGGCTGTAAGAAAAATTCAATACGGTGCAAAAATCTCGCCTCTAGAACCCAAACAGTAGTCCCTCGATTATGAAGCGACTCTCTTACCACTGCTCCAAACCGCTGCTGGTAGACCTGTCATACCCATAAAATTTAAGTTCGCTTGTGTTAAGGCTCTCTAAAATCACCTTATAACTCCATTCTGAAAACCGTTTGGCAAATTTGGAAAGCAGATTTGAGATCACTGCCCGAAAATACGTCTAGCGGTATTGGTCTCATTTCAAACGGTCAATTCTATTTGGGATCCTTCCCTGTTGGATCAATGTAAAGAAGTTAGTGAGAGGCTAGATTGATAAGAGCCAAGAGCCATCCCTCCAGGATACGCCATCACTTCGACTTCAACCGTAAATAACGACATTTGTTGGCCCACTTGATGTTGGTATCGTTTCTCGTCTACTCTGGTCCTGCCTGTTATCGTTATTTGAAAACCAGAAAACGAATTCAATGAGTACATTAGGCTGCATTATTTATTTATCCATTTACTTATTTGATACAAGCATGATACTCCTCAACCCATTGACGACCATGACGTTTTGCGGGAAAAGCGCCGCGAGGGACCGGCGCGCTTTTCGTCCACTAACGATTGCAGCCCACGTGTGAACTTCATGGTTAAGCACGACCATTTTTCGAAGTTTGTAAGAAAAATTAAAAGTTTTTTTACATACTTTGAAAAGTTTTTCTTACAAAGTTTTTCTCACAGTAAGTACAGGAAAAGAACTAGAAGAAAAACTACAAAACTACAAGAATGTTCCTTCAAATTGGTTTGGTAAGAATGCCCACAGTGAGTGATTATTGATCTTTATTATAGAAGCGACACTCGTTCTAGAGGTCATTCAATTATGAGTTCAATCATTACAAGAAATCGTTTCGGAGAACTATTGCGAGCTTGGCATTCGGTCGATAACAGCGGAAATGCTAACGACGACCGTCTTTTCAAAATATCTCATTTTATGTTGTTCAGCGAGCGAAGAAATTACCAAGGTTATGTACTCTTTGGCAAAACCCCTTTACATTCGCAAAATTAGAAGATTTTCAAGGAATACGCTGTAAGTAGTTTCAATTAGGCCTGATGTAGTTTTTTGAGAAGGAAAACTGTAAAAAAAATGGAAATATAGATGAATAAATCAAAAATACAACTGCAGTTCCACATGGCCGGAAAAGTGGAGTCCACATGTGGACTGCATGGTCGTCAATGGGTTAAAAAATCATTTTCTGACAAAGTCTGCATGTTCCAAACACAACGGGTACAAATAATTCATTCAAGCAGAAAAGCGAAACTCAGTTGTCTCATCAGATCGCCGTAGAGTGGGTGTCGAGAGATGTTGATTTTTCCCGGCGAGCCAACTTGCCATACTTTACTTTACATCTGTTCAAATTTCAGGATTTTTGATCCAGTTGCCAAGCATTCACTCTTGTGGGACAGCGATGAAGTTGAGTCATCGCTACAACGGTGGTTTTGTCGGGAAGAAGCGGGTTGAAAATACGTGAATGAAGTGATTTAGTCGTGTAGATCGTTACCAGTATATTCGTACACGGTATCCAAAGCATTGGGGTCAGATAAACAACTCGAACCAGTCGATAGCTCTGTAACAATATATTATAATTTCAGAATTACTACTCCTAAACGATTCCGAAATACTGGTTCAAGCAGGCAGGTAGTGGTGGCTATGGTCTGCCTTTAACAGAAGAGAGCCTTGTCGTGGAATTGCTACTGCTTGATACTGTAGGAGCATGAGCAAAATCATAATCGGTTCCCATTCCTTAAGGAGGACACATGCACTCAAACCGTGTCCACGAACAGTATTACCCTTGTTACCTCAAATATCTTCGGTTATTTCAGGTCACAATTTAAGTCTCTTTTTCTCGTTCACATCCAACTGCTACACGATTCAAGACCCTCTATCAGTGAGAAAGGGCATGGAACTCAAACAAAAATTCAACAAATTTCATTTTTAGCCCATGTTCAAAAGAGTGGATCCTGCATGAAAAAGAGCGTAAAACAACGTGACCAAACTGCCATTCGTTTAGTTACTGAGACACTTCATTCGATGAGGCAGGCTCAAAAACAACTATATAGCAACAGGGACCAATTGCGCGTGATCTGATCCAATGGAGCTAAAACCGACTCAACAGCAAGGAATAGGTCCTGCAGAGAAAGTATGAGGGTGAAGCAGCGTTTGCGCGTTTCTAGTCACTAATCGTTGTTTCGTGAAGTTGATGAGGCTCATGCGATCGATGGAACAAGTTTAGAAACAAGTACCCAAAGACGGGATCTTTTCCAGGTTAGATCTTGCGGATAAGATGCGATCTCAGCACTATGCCATAAAATCGTAATGGGTTCCACCTTCGCGCACCTTACTATAACTGTGTTACTGACATTTTTTGTTTTGTTATGAATTTTGTCCGATGATCAATAACTCGGCAGACAAAGAAAACAGTAATTACCGTACCGCTCCAATCCTAAATCGTAGGCAAACTCTGGAAGTGATGACGCCTACACATGCTACCATTAGGCACACACCATGAAGCAATATCTTAAATTCTACTCGAGCCCTGTAATAGTGTCTGTACTGTCCTAGAGTAGACCATAAAAACCTCAAAAAGTTTGAGACGAAGTACTTCCTGATAAAAAATTTAACGACTTAGAGTATTAGAGTATAACATATAGGGAAAGTAGAGAGATGACTTTTTATTTACATGGTAGAAGGATACCTTGAAGGTCCAACTACCATGTGGAAGGTGGCATCTGGAACGCACTTCATCCCGACTGAGTGATTCCTTCGTTACATCTGGCATTCCCTCGTGTCGCCTAATCGAGCAAAATTCGGCTGGACCTTCTTGACTAGAACCCGAATAACAGAGTTCCCCAGCAACTTGAATCGCTGCCCGATTCCCCTGATGTGAAAGGTTACGGCGGTTGGAACGGATAAATTTGGATATAGGCTTCTGAAGGCCCCTGCATTTCCATTCGGCATAGACCAGGTTCATTCTTTCAATAAATGGAGTTTTCGACTAAGTGTCTTCTGGCGGGTGGTGCAGAGGCTAGTGATGCTACACTATCTGGTACGGTCAAAGCCTGATGCCTGGAATTCCGAAAACGGAATCACAATTTGTCCCCTATCCTTTGTCCGTTCCGGGCTCAGCGACAGATTAATGAAGTGATCGGAGCTCCTCCTAATTAGAAGGCATTATACATATCTATACAACCGTAACTTTGAAAAGCAGTCGAAGGCGTGGCGCATTCAGACGGTACCTGGTCACTTTGTGTGCTGCTCCCTCACCTCGTACTTCAGTAGAAAAACTCTTCCAAAAACTGAGGGGAGCTCTGAGCAGCCTTTAACTGACCCTTTCCTTCGAATCGTATCGAACATATAAACATAACCACACAGACAGAGAGCCAGAGCCGTCACTCGATAAACCAGTCCGATGATGAAGATAGACTGAAATAATGACTCCTCAAGAAAATTTTTTAATACTGGTACTTCACTGTCGGCTCAGACTTAATAATTGCTGCGACTGTGGGCCGCTGGTGAACGTTTGATAGCCAGAGATATCAGCAAGGTTTATTGGTCGAACCGACCGAGACGAAGTGAACAGAGACAAATGTAGTCACATATAAATTACTGGGTTTATGTACCGTGTCACACATAGTCACATCAGCATTCAGTGCTACCAGTAATCTCTGGATACCTAACAATAACTGGAATAATTGTCCGCTGTCTGGATATTTGGTTAATCAGTACTGTTAAGTTGAATATCAAATTACAGTGACGCGACCACAACCAACTGTGAAACATTCATAGCAGCTTTAGCAGATGTTATATGAGACCAAACCAGAACCGCGAAATTGCCGTTTCGACAGCATTGTGTGTGTTTTGACAGTTGGCTACCATCCTGAGTGCTTGGTTCCTAGAAAACCACTTACCGCATCATAGCGAATGTCAGGAGCACTAAGAATCAGTGGGGCGTTCGTACCCATAAGACCATACTGAAAATTGAAAACACAGTAGAATGGCGCTGCAACAATGAGTGGTAGCGATACTTGGGCGACAAAAAGTTGCCAGTTTGGTAAATGATCCACGGCCTAAATGAAGGCAAAGAAAGAAATAACGACTTTTGACACTAGCTAGTATGAATTGTAACAGTAACAGTGTTCAGGAGACGTCTAGGCATTACAAAGAAAACAATAAAAATGACAAGGAAAAATAATCAAACACGGAAAAAGGAACAGAGAAGCTTCAGGCCACTTACCTTTGTTATGTGGGCCGAGGGCAGGCACATTGTCATTAGCCGTACACCCAACTCCATAACAACAGTGGTCGCTTGGGTGTCCATAATTACTTCTTGGGTAACCTGGGCGAATTTCATCCAGATAGGATAGCGGTTCAGATATAGAAATAAAGGAACCACTGAATCAAAACATCTGGAGTACATGGTCGCCGTGAAAAACGTGAGCGAGAAAAGATCGAGGAATCCCTGAATTGAGAGTGCATACAGAGTAACTTGAAACACAAACGGTAAAGACTTTTGGCATTGAACATCCAGGCATTACTTCTAGGATGCACCCCCGCATTCGGCTTCCATTCAGAAGCGTAATGGAGTTTTTAGTGGCTGGCAGACGCCATCCGATATCATAGTTATTGCTTTTATCCACCCACACGAGGCTAGAATTAATTACGCGTCCGAAAAGATGAAAAGTTAGTCGGTTAGGATTGTTCTTGAGCCGGGACTCGATCCCCGGACTATAATGTTAATACTGCACCTTTTGACGCTACACAGCATTCCGTTCTCATTTAATATAAAACAATCGAGTTATTGTACCTGGTTCTTCCATAGTCTGAAGAAAGCGCCATTGAACCGATTATATTGTCGGTCACGAGTTATGATGAACAAGGCATTGCAATACAGAATGAAAGTTGTCACCACAATGAATCCAATCGCACCGATAACCAACTCGTAATCCATTCTGCAGATACAAAATTTCGGACCATCAAATACGAGCGCGTTGTCTATTTACAAGAATATTTTGCAAGGGCGACTTAAGCCCAAGTATTTGATTATTTTTTACTTTGTTCGCTTACTTTTTTATATTTGCTTAATTATTTATTTGTGAATTCGGTGCTGCACTCATAGCACACAATTACGAAAAAATACGTGTGCAAGGTGCATAGCTGCTGGTTCCTCAATTGGAATGAATAAATTCTTGACCAAGCGAGGACGTATATGTAAACGGTGAACAGTATTAACAGATGAATTTGAAGGCGAAGTGGCGAAACTACTGAGCGGTCTGTAGACCATATTGAAGACTTGTAAAAGTCTTCGAGAGAATCGGTAATTTTTGGGTGCCTTCATTTTCTTCCAACTCACCAGTGTTTCCTAACGAAGGTGACAGCTGCTAGCTTTGCTATATAAATTATAATTGGTTCTGTGCATTGCTTAGGGGGACAGGCCATGCGTGGGACGGAGTGGAAAGATTAAGTCTATCGGGTAGATCAATCTCGTTTTTGAATGAGCCCCAGTATTCGATTTCCTCTTAAAACTTTATTGGCTTGTTGAATGTGTATGGGGCCATACAATGATTCATAGTGGTCAGCCACTCTACAAGTCAGCGCTTTTATTCTATCAAATGGGTCTGGAATCAAATGAGTGCCCAGGGGAAAATGGAAGGATTGTTTAGCCTCAGCAGATATCAGTGCAGGATTCGATAAGCAAGCTTTACGGGTGGCGGTGCGCCACTTTGCATTGCACCGCACCCTCAATATGAATTGCTCCACTTTTGATGAAAGTTTTGTTGAGACTGTAGAGTGTATGAATGGGAAAACGAAAAAACCTTCTATAAAGCAAGTGCTTTTTTTCCTCGGAAGCCTTGCAAATTCCGTCCGAGTCCTTCGATGTTTGGAATTCATTTTGGAAATGATTCGTTTATCTTGGAGCTTGAAGAGTACTGCAAATGCAAAAGCAAGGTTTGTCGTGACGAGTTGCCTACAGCTGCTCGCATCGGAGTTCCCGCACCCGGGCCACACTAGAACGTGGGAAATTGGATGCCCACTCATCCATAAAGGGAACGTCGCGCCGAACAAATCTGGTCTGGGACGATCCTGCTGCGGGAAGGAGGAAGGGAAGGGCCTGCTACCCTGTACGCCAAATCATACGCCGTACTACGACGTGTACGCGGTAGCTTGAAAATAAACCCGTCCGATCACATAGCAAGAATAGTGTGCTACGTTTATGGCGTTCGGATATTACATGATAGCACTTAAATTTATTAAGGCAAATACGTAAAGGGAACACTGCGACGCAATACAATCCTGCTGATCATAAACATAAATGAGGCGACTGCACTGAGACAAGGATTAGAGAAATTGAGACGAGATATTAGGAGGGAGGTGAGATGAGATGAGATGCGACGATCGACGATGCATGTAATGCCCACGGGATGAAGAGAGGACAGCATGCGACGGTCTACCAACTGCCAGGCCGGACGGCTATATAGGAACAGCTAACTGAGTCTGAGACAGTAGCGAGATAGCATTTTCCTCTGCTTTCTTCTGCTTCTGGCGATTTTCGTCTTTCGCCGGAGGGCCGTTTGCAAGTGGGTGTTGGAGCGCGGTTTCCTCTCNCCGAATGCTCTGACCAAGAGTGGAGGTCGTGCGCGAGTCACGACACCGTTTGATGCAACTTTGATAAAACAAACGACTACCCAGATCGATATCCGCCTAGGCCGACTGAGCCTTCCATCCCTCTAAAGTTGGTTAATTTGTACAAGACTTGTGTGAGAGGATAAAAGCACTGATTGAACATGAGTGGCCACATCAAGTAGCTGTATAAGCCATATACGCTCTCGATCGCCTCTACGATTCTAAATGAAAGGCAGTTCCGGGCACATCCCTCGGACGGTGTTGGCTGCCGCTGTTACACACTTTGCGAAAATGGTTTAGGAACACGATCCAATGTTTTTATTTATAATTTTCAATTTTTCTTGAAAGTTATTACCATCTATCATCAATTGTCATAAATGAAAAGGATTGGAACAAGTAATGTTGCTTGATAAGTGTCAGTCAATATTGCTTTTTTAAGATTGTTGAACTTGTGGCATTGGTCGACAACCTTGCCTTTTCATGGAGGCCACTTCTATCTTCTCATTTTTCAAACTACATCTATAGAGTCTTGGAAGAGTGTTGACTGGAAGAGATATTCAAAAGAAGGATTTTTTGTGCTGGGTTAGAAAGGACTTTCTAACAACTCCGTCTGTATACGATCAATCTAGGTAATGCTGTGTCGTTATACGATCGATTATTCTGTGTGACTATGGATATTAAGTAGTGGAAGAGAGAAGCCGAAGGATGAAGTCTTCGACCTGAATCAACCTTTTTGGGATGTGCCTTCGCATTTGACTTTCATGCAAAATCGAGTGGCGTCTTGAATGCGAGTGTGGCCTATACGATGATTTGCACTGCCAAATGATATGTACATAAGTCAGTCGCTTTTACCTCCCAGGCAAACCTGATACCAATTAACCTATCTCAAAAGAACAGAAGTTTTGATTGGCCAGATCGTACCAATCCAGGATTTGATCTCTTTACAATGTGTGTGGTGGTGCGTCACTAGACCATCTCCAGATGAGAGACTACAAGAGGCTATTATAAATAGAAGACTATAGTACGGGAATCTAGGAATGCTCGAAATGCGTGTAAGAATTCCGCAAGGGTTCCAACTTTGATGCCTATTTCATAGGCTTATCGCCTGTTAAATGTGACGAGGCGAAATCGAAGGGGAGAAATAATTTGAAACGAACTGTTTTCAAAGAGGGCTGATATTTCTCACCATAGCAATGTGGAATGCAAAGAATCATGAGCCTCGTATCATTCGCTGCCTCAGGATGGGTCCAATAAAATTTTTTCAGCTAACTGCTTGCTGAAGAAGGTATGTAGTGGAATTTTACTCAGGTGAGCGAGCTCAGTATTTTAATCATTCGTAGTGAATTACTCCTGTTGAGAGTTTGGCCGAGCCCTAGTTCGATCTGACACCGAGTATTTGGAAAAAGGAAACAGTGCTTCTCCAAACAGCTAC